CTCCAGAAGGAAGGACATTGTCATCACCAATTCAGAGATGATTTGAGGATCTATAGCTGAGTGATGCACAAATAAGATACATTTTTGTTAATAGTTAAGGTACTTAAATGTATTTTTTAGATTTAACTCATGAACTTTGTGTCACTGAAAAGTATAATTAACCCCTTAGTGACCGATGCCTTTTCCCCCCCGTTTTTTGTACTCGGGTTATAAGCCACATTTATTCCTGAAAATTACTTCAAACCCCCAAACATTATATATTTTCTGAAAGCCATGACCCTGTGGAATAAAATGTTGGCAGTTTCAAATTTTTATTTTATCAGAAGTATTATCAAACCCCCAAATTTAGTGAAAAACGCCCTTAAATGCCCCAAAACACAAATAAATACCCATTTTACCCAAATAAAATATAAAAGATGAGGTTACAACAAGTAAATAGATACCCAACATGCCCAGGTTAAGCCCTTACAAGCCCCCCATGTGATAGCAGATTGGCAGTGACAGGTACTCTTTAAGGTGATGCTGGGGGTCCAAAAGACTTTACTCTCTAAATAAGCTATTGACGTGCAGAACGCACTTCAATAGCTTATTCCTGGGCTTCAGGAGCCCAGCACTGACAGTTAAGGGGCCGGAAGTGATGTAATCTGCATCGCTCCTGGTCCCTTAGTACGGGGAAGGGATCGGTGAACGGACGTTCGCTGATCTCCTCCCCAACACCAGAGAAGCCGATCCTGGGCCCGTAAGAGGGGCAGCGGAGCCCGGGAAACATGGCGGGGGTGTCGGGTTGGGCGGGCCGTTTACCGACCCGCAGAAACGATCGTGCAACTGCTGAGTCACCTGACCGCTTCTATTGTAAAGCCGACAGTTGGCTTTACAATTCTAAACAGAGTCCCGGGCATCTTAAACCGCTGGGACTCTGTTTAAATGGGCCAGTGAGGTACTATGGATGTCACTGGTCACTAAGGGGCTAAAGTCTTACCTTTTTTGGCATATATCTACTGCTAGCAAGCAGTAGATATATGCCCCATGATTTAAAAAAATTGGGTAAATACCTAATTACTTACCTGTTCCAGCGCCGCACGCTCCGGCCGACCTGTTCCAACGCCGCACGCTCCGGCTGAAGCTCCTGAACGGCTGTGAGAAAGAAGTGTGCGGGTGCATGCGCAGTAGAGCGAGGGGAGAAAATTAAACTCAATGGATGAAGCCGTGCAGGTGGGAGCGTGCACACCGGACAGACAGCGTGGGACACGAGGAGTATGCGGTGGATCAGAGACCAGCACCAGCGCTGGAGGAACTGTGGAAAACGAGTGGAAGGAAGATGATCGGATCAAGAGGTATCGAATGAGATAAGTGCTTTGGTGGGAAAACTTTAAGGACTCTCAGTTCAGCGTCAGTAATCATAGTTGCGATTTTGTTCACAAAATCTAACATAATTTTAGAGAACTCCTCCCCTGATAGTACACAGGAGCACCTGACGGAGCTAAAGGGGACACCAAGGAGTGTGTGGAATCAAGTGGGGACAACGATACAGGCTGTCAGAGTGAGGTCCCTGGGGAGAGACACTGCAAATCGTCCCTGAACTGTTAGTGGACCGTGAGCTGGGAAGACCTGACACAGTGGGACTGATCCACTTGTGCTTGGAATCTGACATGATGTACCATTAGACTGAAGCAACAAAATTTAAGACACCAAGTGCAAAAGCTTGGGTACTCACATCACTATTATTATACATTTATAAAGCTCTGACATATACCGCAGAGCTGTACAATATAATGAAATGGAAAGTGTAAAATTATACAGCAATCAATGCAGAATGGCACCGGCTATAGAGGACTACAAAACCCAGCAATAGTACATTATACAGCACAATGCAGAATACCACCAGCTAGCTATAGAGGAATACAGTTTATAATGTATTGCTGGGATTTGTAACCCTCTATAGCTGATGGTACATATACAGCGCAATACACCATCAGCTATAGAGGAATACAACCAATCACTATCCCAGCAATACATCTATACAGCATGTGGGGGTGCAGGTAGTCTTACCTGTACACTCTTCAAGCAACTTTACTTTCTTCCCCGAGATCTTGGGACTGTCGGCAGCTGCCATTCCCCCACGCTGCAGTCTCCCTGCAAAGACGTGATCATCTTGGCGGGCAGCGGCGGGAGAGATCTGAGAGCTGGGTGAGGCGGGGGAGGAAGTGTGGTGCCCGGTGCGAAGCGTGCCACAAACGGGCAAATAATCGAAAGCCGACTAATCGATGATGAAAAACGTTGACAACATTTTCCTTTTTAATCGTACAGAGGAGCTTACACTCTAATGCAGAATGGCACCAGCTGTAGGGGGGGACTACAAATCCCAGCAATCTTTTTTGTACAGCAATGCAGAACAGTATATGAATTTGACTCAGGGATTAGCGACCCGCTGGACGCAGGGATTAGCGATGCGCTGGATGCAGGGCTTGGCAACGTGTTGGACGCAGGGCTTGGCGACGTGCTGGATGCAGGGCTTGGCGACGTGCTGGACGCAGGGCTTGGCGACGTGCTGGACGCAGGGCTTGGTGACGCGCTGGACTCAGGGCTTGGTGACGCGCTGGACTCAGGGCTTAGCGATGTGCTGTACTCATGGCTTAGCAACGCGCTGAACTCAGGGCTTAGCGATGCGCTGGACGCAGGGCTTAGCGACCCGCTGGACTCAGGGCTTAGCGACACAATGGATGCAGGCCTAAGTGACGCGCTGGACGCAGGGCTTAGTGATGCGCTGGACGCAGGGCTTAGCGAACTGCTGGATGCAGGCCTAAGTGACGCGCTGGACGCAGGGCTTAGTGACCCGCTGGTCTCAGAGCTTAGTGACGCGCTTGGCGCAGGACCCACCTCATACCTCACACATACCTGAGAGTGACCCTGCAGACCCACCATGCTTGTGGGTTCTGCAGGGGTCTCAGGTGGGCTGGTCAGGGCTGCATCTCCCTCCCTATCTCCCTCCCTCCCAGCTCCTCTTACCTGCTCCCCTGGCCTCCCAAGCTGCTGGACTGGCCGGAAGTGATGTGATCACTTCCGTCCGTTCCGAGATCAGTACAGCAGCGGCGCCGCTGGGGCCCGGCGCTGCTAGGGCCCGACCGCCTCCTCTCCTGTCACCGTCGGCCGATTCTCATGTAAGTGTCCCAAGCGGGCCCCCCAGGTCCCTTACATGAGTATCAGCCGTACCCCCCTGATGGCAGCCCTGGGTACTCACAAACCGGCTATAAAGGCCAGGAGAGGTTCAATGGCCAGAGGTGACATTGCGCCACAAGCAGAGCCCAGTACCCGAAGGTTGCATTTCAGTTTAACTTTGCTTGTCTGTGGGCATACCCACAAAGTAAGTCTTCAGAGAATGGGTCACACCAGTGGCTCTGCCATGGCTCTGGACCTGGAGAGCACTCCAGAAGGTCAGGAAAGCACCACAAGCAGAGCCCAGTGCCTAAAGGTCATATTCCAGGCAGGCCCTGCAATCTTCAGTCCAGCGAGTTTAGGGTACGGCCTCCAAAGCTAATACTGAGGAAACTGATCTGGTTAGCTGCATAAAGAGCACCATACGTATGAAGTCTTCATTGAAGCAAAAAAATAAAAAAATAAATGGCTTTTAAAAATCGTTCAACCTTTCCATCCTCCTGGGACACTTACAAAAAACTGAAGCATAATGGGAATGGGAAGTGTTATATATGGCTAGCCAATGGCTTTTTTGTTTGTCAGCATCCAATTCCTCCTGTGGGTGTTAGTAACACCCAAATGTCTCTGAATGCTGAATCCTGTGCACATAATGAATGAGAAAGAAATACACATAATCACCTCTCTGGAGAAGAATATGATGGGAGGAGTGGGGAGGGGAGGGCTCTTCAGAGAGAGGAGGGGATGGAGTCTGAAAAATGTGTAGTAGTGATGAAGGGTTCGAATTGCTGTCAATAATTTTACTGATGCTCATGCCTTGAAGTCCTGGTGACAACTGCATTCCCCATTTTTAAGGTTGCCACAGATGCAGGGAGTGAAGGGAAATCTCCCAAATGGGACAACAGACAGAAATAGAACCTTACAGATATTTTAAAGTGTACGTAATCCCTACCACAGAACTCTTATTTGCGTCTGGGAAGGTTCTCATTCATCCAGGTCATGGTGAGGCATCTATTGTCTGCCACATACAATGCTGTTTTAACACTTCTCTCTGAGCAGGTTAATAACACCTCCTAGACTCCAGTTATGCAAATACAATCACCACATGGTTGCGACTAACAGATTATGTGGATTGGAGCAACATTCACCATATTTATTCCCAGATAATTTTTTGTAGAAGTAATTCTGAATTGAGAAAGCCTTTTCGGATGACCAGTGAAACATCTTCAAGAAAAAAACAGCAAGTCCAGTTGCCTTATTTTTTACAGATATTCTCTTATTTGCTCCCTTTTGGTCTGTGACATATACCATTGAAAGTATTTTTTTTGCATATTTTTCAATAAGTGCAAAAAATACCAGTTTATAGAAATGACTATTTAGCTCTCCATGTTGGTATCTTGGACTATCTTGGAAGTCAACTAACCTCTATTCAGTGGATAAGAAGATAATGGGAGTGATTGTGTTGTTTACCAAATGACAATGGACAGGTCTGACACCTTTCAGTTCACCAAAAATGCTGTGTTCGCAGCTCACAATAGTAATTTACGTGCTGGGTGCATTTCTTTCAGATCAACTAGTATCTACAATGTTTTAAATGAATAAAACACGGGCAAATGTGCATGCATTGAATGTATTTTGCTTTGACTCTTCCCCCCTCTATTCAAAGAAAAACAATGTCGAGAGTTGCACTTTAAAACTGTTTAAGAGCTAATGATTATCAGTATACCATGACAACGGCAAGTACACGACTCTTTTTAAATAAAGTTTTTTCAAATACCCAACACGTTGCGCTGTGTCCTTTACAAATAAAGCTTTTTTTCCCTAATAAAATAACACGTCTCCCATACTCCTTGTCGCGAGGTTTCAATGGTGTGATGTAATGTGTGGGCGTGCCACGGAGGAGGTGGTGGGCGGGGCCTTTGCCGGGTAACGGCCATCGGTGTGTCGGTGGTCTAGTATTGAGAGCTGTGAGAGTCCCGGTTGCCGGTGATTCTCCCGGCGGGGAGAAGTAGGGGTAGCCATGGCCGGACAGCAGTTCCAGTATGACGACAGTGGCAACACGTTCCTCTACTTCCTTACCTCCTTCGTGGGGCTAATTGTCATCCCGGCTACATATTACCTGTGGCCCCGGGACCAGAACTCGGGTGAGTGCTCGGATAAGGGCTGCTGGACTGTGGATATTAATTCTATTATCAATATTTACTTTTCACTGACATGGTACTGAGCATGAAACAGACATCAATAGGGTGGATGTACATGAGGGGTATGTTCTATGCTGGTTAGTGTCATTAATCTATAATGTAAATCATGTGTGGTGTGTCAGCTCATTTCCTGTCGGTGATATGTGGAGCCGACTGTGTGCAGAGTGAAAACTTCCTGTGTGTTTCCTCAGTCTTACATATTGCAGGTGGGAGACCAGTGTGTGTCACAGATCAGAGGGGAGACCAGTGTGTGTCACAGATCAGAGGGGAGACCAGTGTGTGTCACAGATCAGAGGGGAGACCAGTGTGTGTCACAGGTCAGAGGGGAGACCAGTGTGTGTCACAGGTCAGAGGGGAGACCAGTGTGTGTCACAGGTCAGAGGGGAGACCAGTGTGTGTCACATTGCATGTGGGTAATCAGTGTATCGCAGGTAGCTCAGCATGTCACATCACAGGCAGTAGATCATGTTGTGTATCACAGGCAGGAGGTCAACGTGTCATATGTCACACGCAGGAGATCAGGTTGTCACATATTACAGGTGGGAAGTCAGTGTGTCACATATCACAAGTAGATCAGCTTGTCACACCACCCTGGAGGGAGATTAGTGTGTTCCATATCGCAGGCGGAAAATCAACATGTCCCATGTCGTAGTTGGGGGATCAGCGTGTCCCTTGGTGTAAGCAGGAGATCAGTGCATCCAATGGCACAGTCAGAATATCACTGAGTGGTAGTAGATCAGTGTGGTGCACATTGCAGGTGGGCAATCTGCATGTCACACATCACAGCAGAAGATCAATATATTTACACCCCTGCCAGCAGATCACTGTATCAGGGGAGGTGTGTAGCATTAAAATGTAATCCATATGACGTATTTGATGAATAGGTCTTTTCATAATAATTTTGTTACCTGAAGTTTGAACATCAGTGTTCTTGTTTGCTCTTAGTCCCCGTTCACACCTAGGCGTTTTATAGCTCAAATCTTGGAGCTACAAGAAGCTCAGCAGAAGGCATTCCATTATTTTCTATGGCCCTTGTTCATAGCTGAGTGTTTTGTGCCTGCAGAAAAACACCTGTTCCTGGAAATAGTACATCATCTACTTTTTTTTTTTTTTGCAGATTTCTACACATTTGGCCTCATAGACTTCAATAGAAACACCTGGAAGCACACGATAGAAGCGTTTTTGCATGTGTTTGTCGGTTTACATTGAAAGAGAACTATGGGGTAACCTTTTTATCCCATAGTTCTCTTTAGGGTCACAGGCGGACATATACTAACCTCCTCCCGTGACCCAAAGCTCAGTATATAGTGGACTATAGCTCGCTATATACTGACAGCGCCGCAGCCAGGACGGATCCCGACATTACTGTCAAGATTCACCCAGCTGGCAGATTGACAGCGGGCTCGGCTGTGCCCGCCCCCTCCCCCGTCCATTCCTCCAGTGAGCGCTCGAGGATCAGAGAGGGGAGGAATCCCTGCGGGGAGCAGTGACTTACAGTCCCCGCTCTCTGCAGGAAGATGATTGGGAAGTAGGCGTGCAACGGTATGCGTTCGCTTACTTCCCGATCTATAGAATTGATGTGTGACAGTTTCAATGTCACACGTCGGCTGTAACTATGAGACTGAGCATAATTCACTCACCCCATAGTTCTCCTTTAATGTCCTACAATCTGCCAGCTAAAAAGTGCGACTTAACGCACACGTGTCAGCTGCATGCTAAAACGTGTGATATGTGCGAAAACGCACACTTAAAGCGGACCTAACATTCAATATATTTTTCATGGTAAGGGATCATGTCGTCACTTTGCACTTACTATTTGCAGCCAGTATAGCAAGAATTCCGCGTAACCTTTTCCCTACTGTTTAAAACATCTATTACTTACTTATTTTAGCGGTTACGAGTCCTGTTAATTTCTTAGGAATTCGACACGTAGGACAGATTCCTCTATTGGCCTAGGATATAAACTGCAGGTGCCTAGAGGTACCTGCACATACCTGCAGGGTCTTAAAATCCTGCAGATATAGATAATGCTGGGTCAGTTTGGCAGGCAACGCTTTAACTGTAGTATGACGGTCCCTTCATACCTCCTGCATATTCTTTTTGGCCAGTGACAGGCCAATCTGAGGGGAGACACTTACTTGTAGGCTAAACTTTGCTTGTCTGAACAGCCTGAAATTTGTCTGTATCTGCAGGCATTCTAAGTCTAGGTGTCTGTACTATATACTTAGTTTGTTTTTACTTCTGGATAGTATTGGGAGAGTAAAATGTACTCTTCCCAATAGTTTGAGCCGCTGTGTGACACTGCAGTGTCACACAGCGGCTCTATAGTGTGAAAACTGAGTGATCAAAAACCGTTGATCACTCAGTTCACAGCTTTTCCCTGCAGAGAGCAGCGACTGTCAGTCATTGCTCCCCTGAGGGATTCCATCGTCCCCTCTCTGTTGTTCCAGAGCTAATAGGGCTTGTTAGCGCGCCATGTGATAGCATTAAAGTTAAGTGTAAAAAAAAAAAATTAAAGAAGCATAAAAATGTTTTTTGTTTTTTTTGTCCCTTGCCCCCCACATACACACGCATACATTTGTTGGGTGCGCCCACGTGCGAAAACGACTATTGTGCCGCACATGTTGCATATCACAGCGAGTCTCGGAGTGAGAGAAATAATTTTAGGGCCATTAATCACTGACAACACTGAACTGATGAGCGGTAAAAGCATTTAAAGCGTCACCTATGTCCAATTTTCGGTGTGGTCGTTTTTAGCGCATGCACGCAATTTTAAGGCTTGACATGTTTGGTGTCTATTTACCCGACATGACCCCAACTTTTATATTTTACCAAAAATATGGGTACGAATAAATGTTTTTTAACATACCGTAGGGGAAACTTTTTTTTTCATTATATTCCCCCCCCCCCCCTCCTGAAATTTTTGGTACTTTTCTCATTATATTGTAAAAAATACCCCCAAAAGAAAGCTCTATGTGCCCCTAAAAAATGTTAACCTAAATTGCAAGGCTATACACTGAGTGGCCAGATTGTTATGACCGCCTGACGTTTGTAGGCAAATTAGCTATAATTTTGCGCTGAAGTTGCTAGAGGGCCAGACCATTATAAATAGGGAAGCAGGTTGTTTACCACGACAGTAGAAATGTTTTTTTTTCTGAAGATATGCGTAAACAACGCGATTTAACAGCCTTTGAACGTGGGACGATTGTTGGTGCTCGGAGCCATGGAGCGAGTATCAGCAAAACAGCAGAATTCGTTAAATGTTCAAGAGGGGCTCATTGTTAAAGTGTTTAAAGACTGGACTGTCAGCCGAAAATCTGGGTCTGAACGTGCGAAATTGTGGCCGTCAGCGACTAGTCAATGTTAGGGCAGAACGGAGAGTGGCAAGACTTGTACAAGACAACAGAAGGGCAACAGTGCAGTGTCAGATTCCTCGCATCACCTTTCAACATCTTGTGGAGTCACGAGACGGCCCAACAGTCATCTCGTGGACCAACGAAGTAATGATGGGGTGGTCATAATAATCTGGCCACTCAGTGTAGTCCGGTCATGCTGACTGGTGAAAATTTTGACTGACTGGTGAGACACCCTAAGACCCCATTCACACGTAGCGACATACCTTTTGCAGCGGATCCGCAGGGCCGGGATAGCGCGACTTTCGGGGCGACGTTCCAGCGACGGTAGCGCGACCTTCTCTGTCGGGCTCCATAGAAAAAGGGCAAAATCCGCCGAAAAAAGGGTCCGGTAGAAGCGACTTGCGACCGCGACGAGCGACGCGCGACATGGAGTTAAGACAGCTCCAATGAATAGCATTGGCCGGCGACTTCTCGCAATATCGCGCGGCAAAAATGCGCGATATCGCGGCGGAAATCGCGCGATAATTCGCTACATGTGAACGGGGCCTAAAATATTTCAAGCCCTGCATATGTCATACCTGATTTTGGTCCACGGGGATCCTGTAAAGCATTGTGTGGATTCTCCTTTGCTTTGAGAACACAGTGGGTCACTCGCCCAGCAGTGGCCATTCAGAGAATGGCTAGTGTTTTTATCAATGAATACAAGGCAATCTGTGATTTGACAAGAGACAGATTGTGATGTCAGAGAACGCCTTGTATTTATTGTTACAAGCTGGACCCAGTAGGTATGCATAAAAAATCATGGCTCCGTGCACACTATGGCATTTTGTCGCACGTATTGTGCGCGCTGGAACTCCCAGCAGAAAAAAAATTCCATGTATTTCTATAGCCCCTGTTTACACCTAAGCATAGAGTCACGCGTAAAAAAAAAAATGCCTGTTGCCTGCAAATCTGCATGAGCTTTTTTTTTATCTCGGCAGATCAGCGCAATTTGTCCCCATAGACTCAATAGAAAACACGCAACACAATTATTTGGTGGGTTTTTTGCGTGCGTTTTCCATGCTTTTCCCATTAACATCAATGTCACGGATCTGCTTCCAAAAATGCGTTACTGTATACACACTCGTGCAACAATGCGTAATCTGCACTGAAACGCTGTTGCCTTATTCTGAACGGGGGCTTAGAGCTCAGTTGGGAGTATCAGCACTTTTTCGTATTTTGTTTTAACAAAGCAGGGTAGTTGGAGGGAGAACAGCTTTCCTTATTTTACTGTTTAGTATGTTTTAATTTGTGAATCTTGTGTCATATCAATTGTAATCAATATGAAAGTCACCTGCACTCCACACACAGGAAGTTTGGTGTTTTTGAAGTGACAACACGGAGGGCGCCGTGTCAGATGCAGTCAATAATAGAAGTCACCAGCACTCGATGATATGTGCGAGAAGTAGAAGCACTTTTACTGAATTGTCACAAGCTAAATAAAACCAACGTTTCAGGGCCACGCAGGGTCCCTTCTTCGGGGCGACGTAGTGACAGAGTTAGTCAATATGTCGCCCTGAAGAAGGGACCCTGCGTGGCCCTGAAACG